TACCAATATCAGGAAGGAGAGAAGTTACATGACAAATTCAACTGGTATGAAAAAAAAAAATAAAGAAATATTATGAACAACTTTATGCCAAGGAATGCAACTAAACCTGCTGAAACACAAATTTCTGGAATAGTGTGAGCTACCATAGCTTATTCAAAAAAGAACAGATAATGAGTAGCCCTATATCTATGGTTCAAGATGGTGGAGTAGAAAGACATGTGCTCATCTCCTCCTGCAAGAGCACCGAAATCAAATCTATTTTTAAATGTCATCTACTAAAGTTGAATGAAAACCCTTTCCACAAAGAAACATCTAGGACCAGAGGATTTCATTAGTGAATTCCACCAAACATTTAAGCAAAGTATAATACCTATTCTAAACAAATTCTTCTACAAAATTTAACAGGAGGGAAATTAAAAGATGCTTGCTCCTTGTAAAAAAGTTATGACTAACCTAGACAGCATAGTAAAAAGCAGAGACATCACTTTGCCAACAAAGGTCCATATAGTCAAAGCTATGGTTTTTCCAATAGTCATGTATGGATATGAGAGGTGGACCATAAAGAAGGCTGAGGTTGAAGAATTGATGCTTTCTAACTGTGGTGATGGAGAAGACTCTAGAGAGTTCCTTGCACAGCAGGAAGATCAAACCAGTTAATCCTAAAGGAAATCAAACTTGAATTGAATGTTCATTGGAAGAACTGATGCTGAAGCTGAAGCTCCAATACTTTGGCCATCTGATGCAAAGAGCCAACTCACTGGAAAAGACCCTGATGCTGGGAAAGATTGAGGGCAGGAGGAAAAGGGGGCAACAGAGGATGAGATGGTTGGATGGCATCATTGACTCAATGAACATGAGTTTGAGCAAGCTCCGGGAGATTTTGAGGGACAGGGAAGCCTGGCATGCTACAGTTCATGAGGTCACAGAGAGTAGGACACGATTTAATGACTAAACAACAGTACTTTGCAACTCATTCTCTGAGACCAGCATTATCTCATACCAAAACCATGCAAAGATAGTAATGAAAACTAAAGATCTTGTGAGAATAGATGTAAAAATTCTTAACAAAACTTTAGCAAGTTGACTGTGACCATATATAAAAAAGGTAATAGCTCAGGGTCAAGAAGGGGTTTATCCTAGATGTACAGTGTTATTAATAGAAAAAGAGCAAGGAGGCCCAGGTGCCTAGACTGAATGAGTCATGAAAATGAGCTAAGATCTGAGAAGAGGAACTAGATCATGAAAGCCACAGCATAGGTTCTAGATCACTTGACTTAATTGGTTTTAGTGGCCCTAAGCTGAATGCACAATACTAATGGTGAGAATTTGAGACCCTTTTAATAGGCAAAAAAGGAAGATTCGGGGGGAGAGTGAATACCAGAGAGAACTGTCAACCTCAATATAAAGCCTTAGACTTTAAATCTGAGAAGCTATTACAGAAGAGTGATATAATATCATGGCTTGACTCTGTTTTAATAATCTATTTTGTTGAGAACATATTTTAGTAGAGTAAGGTTAGACACAAGTAAACCAAATCATAACATGTAAATGAACGTATTTTATAAATTATAAGTCAAATATTGTGATAACTTAGTCATTTCTTAGCACATCATGTCTGACATATTCTGCTCTACATATATTTCTTACAAAGAATAGATTTTTAATCAAACACATTTTGATAGGGAGGGCTCGCAGAGAAATGTGGGAACCTTGCTTGGTTGTGGGGTGATCACTGAAGTACAATGGTGTTCACCAAACCCTTTTACTACACATGCCTCAGTTTTATTGTCATAAACAAAATGTAATGTTTAATGGTAGGACCTTAGAATAATATGACATTCCTAATGTCATGGTCCTGACTTGACTGTGATGCCAGAAATACATAATATTTAACATTTTCCCAAAGCACTGGTCTCCCCTGGATCAGCCATCTGCAGTCCTTGTCTTCCTGACTGATGGTATCTTACAGGATTTAACTCCTGCATGTGTCAGAGTAAGCCTGAAGAAGCTTCCTCTACTACGAGGCACAACAGGGTGTCAAGTTTCCAAGGCATAAAGATAGATATTAGATATGATATTTACTTGCAGTGACTGGAGACAACTTAAAACTCCCAGAAAGTGAAAAACTAGACAGACCGAGGAAGAAGAGCCAAAAATATAAGCAGATTAATGAAACCAAGGATCAAGTCCAAGATGTAAAGCACCAGTGGGTGACAAGTTCATGTCCAGAACAGCTAGAATCAGAATTTTTGTTCAATGTGGTGGATATGGAATAAAAAATAGAGTTTTCTTTTACAAAAGATCTGGGATATGCTCAGGGGTAGAATGGCCATTTAAAAACATATATAATACAACACATGCCTAATTTTTTGTTCAAGATCATAATGATTTAGTTTGTTTCAGCACTCCTAACAGAATAATACAATGGTGAGAGTACTAAGTCCCCTCACAGCTAGACAGGGAAGATTTTTTTGGAAGAAGTAAATACCAGGTAGAGAATTATCAACATCATCCACACATAAGTCAGTTCTGCTGACATGAAAATGTTTTTCACAGGTAGTCTTTGCAGTTTCTATTTAGCACACAGGCCTTCTACCTGGGAAAGTCCAGCTTGGTGATGACATTTCGGTCCAGCTCACAAAGTTACCTGTGCTTCAGGGTAATGTTTTTTAAAGCTGAACATTATTTGGAAAACAAAAGTGATGAGCCAACTAACCCACACATGTCATATTGAAATCTTAGGAGGAAATTACTGCCTACAAAACACATATACATACGCACACAACCACTTTTTAACATTTTTGAGTTTCACTGAGTTCTATTTAGTTGACTTCGGAATGTTTGAAACATATTGAAAATTTCTGAGAAATTTTGTTTCAATAATTTTCTTATAGAAATGTTCGGGAAGTAAAAATGTTTTATTTTATTCATTTACATATTCACTCAGTAAGCAAATGCTGAAATGTATCCTCAATACTTAGCATTCAGCTTATAACAATGAAAAATTGTGGTTCATGTACTCAAGGACTTTAGTGAAGAATAGGAGCATATGCAAGTAGCCATAATTCAAAGAGACAAGGTGATCAGAGAAGTATAAACAAAGTACTTGGGGTTAAAGAGAAGGAAGTGTCTAATTGCCAGGGTCTTCGAAGAGCAACAGAAAGAGTTATATAAAATTTCAATCTTCATGGATTAGAAAGAATTTATGAAGGTGAGAAGCAGAAAGCATGACATTTCAAGCAGAGAGAATAAAACCTGAAGGTACAAAAGAGCATGTTAAGCCTTATGCCATATTGAAGAGCCTTCTACCTTTCGTACCCCCAATACCTAGCACCTAACTAGTAATTAATTTTAGCCTACTGATCTTGTGATTGAGAATGAAAATGTTGTGATCATTTTGTGCTTATTATGAAATTTTGATAATGACTATAATGACAAAACAGGATCATGCTATAGAACTTGATCAAAGTGTCCATGTGGCTATGTTAACCAGTTATTTACTACCACAACCAGCCTGCTTGCATTTTCCATTTTCAAACCCTTCAGTGTCCTCTGAGAAAGTATAGTATCAAATTTCACACACACAACCAAATTGTTCCAAAATAAATCAGGAGAGTAAGAGAGATGACAGAATAAAGAAAATTAGTACAAACTAAGATTGGACTAATTCTATTATGTATACCCAGCTATATGTTCTATAGTCTTTAAAATAAAAACAATTTATCACTAGACTAAAAATAAACAGAATGTACAGCCCACAAGTAGAAGCTATTAGATATAGCATCATGACAGTCAATAAAGGAGACACCATTAATCAACGAGAAAGTGAAGCTTTGGCCAATAACTGCTGTCTGAGTGATTAGTTAGCAATTTGGAAAAAATCTATTTAGAACCTTATTTCATTTCACTCAACCAAAACAAATTGTAGAAAAATTAAGGAAGTAAATATAAAAAATCAATATGTATATCTATGGCTGATTCATGTTGATATTTGGCAGAAACCAACAAAATTCTGTAAAGCAATTATCCTTCAATTAAAAAATATATAAAATTTTTTTAAAAGAAATAAAGCATAAAAAATCAGAAATTAGTTGGAAGAAAGAAGCAACATGAATATTTATCAAGTGTCTAGAGGCAAAACAATTTACTAAAGCTTAAAAATAATAAAAGACATAAGGGAGAGCATGAAAGATTACACTATGTGAAAATACAAAACTTCATATACAAATTCTGAAAATCATGAGCTTAGTATCAAGTTGTAGAAATGCCTATAGAACATACTAAAAGCATTAACATCTTTATAGTATTAGGAGCTTACATAACTTGACCAAAAACTCCACATAAAAAAGGAGGGATAAAATACTTTAAAAATTTAAAATTGTTGCTGTTGTTTAGTAGCTAACTGTCTGACTCTTTGGGACCCCATGGACTACAGCACACCAGGCTTCCCTGTCTTTCACTATCTCCCAGAGTTTCCTCAAACTTATGTCCATTGAGTCGCTGATGCCATCCAACCATTTCATCCTCTATTGCCCCCTTCAGCTTCAGCATCAGTCCTCCCAATGAATATTCAGGGTTGATTTCCTTTAGGCTTGATCTTCTTTCTGTCCAAAGGACTCTCAAGAGTCTTCTCCAACACCAGTTTGAAAGCATCAGTTCTTCATCCCTCAGCCTTCTTTACAGTCCAACTTTCAAGTCCATACATGACTACTGGAAAAATCAGAGCTTTGACTATATGAACCTCTGTTGGCAAAGTGATGTCTCTGCTTTTTACTATGCTGCCTAGATCTGTCATAGCTTTTCTTTTAAGAAGTGCCTTTTGATTTCATGGCTGAAGTCACTGTCCACAGTGATTCTGGAGCCCAAGAAAATACCTGTTATTGTTTTCATTTTTTCCCCACTTATTTGCCATGAAATGATGAAACCAGATGCCATGATCTTAGTTGTTTGAATGTTGAGTTTCAAGCCAGCTTTTTCACTCTCCTTTTATTCTCATTAAGAGGCTCTTTGGACTTCCCCTGGTGGCTCAGATGGTAAAGAATCCGCCTGCAATGTGGGAGACCTGGTTCGATCCCTGGGTTGGGAAGATCCCCTGGAGAAGGAAACGGCTAACCACTCCAGTATTCTGGCCTGGAGAATCCCATGGACAGAAGAGTTCTGGTTGGTTACATTTGTGACCACGGGGTCACAAAGAGTCGGACACTACTAAGCGACTTTTACTACTTTCAAGAGACTGTTTAGATCCTCTTCGCTTTCTGCCATTAGCGTGATATCATCTACATATTTGAGGTTTATGTTTCTCCCAGCAATCTTGATTCTGGCTTGTGATTCATCCAGCAGGGGACTTTAAAATTATTGTATTTATAACTAATCAGTACACATATAAAACTTATGTTCATTGTTGGTATAGAAATAAAACAACACTAAGATATCATTGTTTGGCAGATAGCAATGGTATTTTTCTAACTAATAATAATACTCAGTGCAGATGCAAAGATGGTACAGTGTAGAATCTTTGTGTTTAGATAATGGGGCTGATATTATTTTTAGCTTATTGATTTTTTAATGACAAGGAAGCCTGGTGTGCTGCAGTCCATGGGGTCGCAAAGAGTCTGACACAACTTAGCAACTGAACTGAACTGAACTGAATGCAATTTCAATCAGACAAAATGCTTTCGTTTTTTTAAACTACAGCAGAAAGTTGTAAGTTACAGAGAAAACTTGCACATTAATACAAAAGTAAATGTAGCAGATTGCCTATACATTTTTTTAAAGAAGAAAATGAAGCAAGGAGGGTGCAGTGCTTGTTATATGGCTATTAAAACTGCCTACAAAATTACTGTCATCAGATTAAATGTGATGCTGGTAAAGAAAGAGACAAATCAGCAGTGGCCAGTAAAAGATCCAATTACCAATGATTACTTTATATATAACAAAGTTAACATTTTCAACATAGTGGGGAAAAATCAGGCTATTTATAAATGGTGTTATGATTATTGATTCACTAGAAAAAAGTCTGTTTAATCTTTATCTCACAATTAAATACAAAAATTTATATACACATATATATGAAGTATGTACATATATGAGTGTGTATAAAAGTATATATATGCAATTTGTTCTTTCACTTACACTTTGGATTTTTTTTCATCAGTATATGTATCTTATTCTTGTTTAATGACCTTTGAATGTAACAATTTATTTAACTTTTTTTTATGGACATAGGTCTTGGTTCCAAGTTTTTAAGGATACATTCATAGAAACAATTAGTAGGCAAAAATATATGAGCATTTAAAATAGTTTTGGCAAAATTATTGGCAGAAAATTCTAGAAAAAATTTGTCATGTTGTCTCTTTTTTAAGGGATTATTTTCACTTGGTTCATTGATGTTTTAATTTGCCCACTATTATACTTAATCAAGATAAGTTTTAATTGAGCACTTTTCTTGCTTCTGACAGTGAGCAAATGACAGGGGCAGATGGTATGGGGACAGTCAAAGGATACAACAAAGTCCTTATCCGTAGGACCATTCAAAAAAAAGAAAGAAAAATACAGATATTTAAGTACCAAATTGGGTGATAATGTCTAGTGTATATGCTTTAAAAGAATCAGAAATAAAATATTTTTTCAAAGGTAAAACTAAACTATTTTCTGTAAATACATCTTAATATTTATGGTGATTAATGCTAATAATAATATCCATGATAATTGACTGACTGCAGTTATTTCTTCTATACCATAGGAAAGTTCAAAACGCATGAATGATCCTGAGATAAAGCCAATGAGCACTTCTTAATCAGATACTAAATGCTAAGTGCTTTGCTTGGTCTTTTCTTGTCATGGCTTGACAGGAGGATGCTTTGCCAGCGATTCTCTAAAATGAGAGACAAGTTGAGAGACCAAAGATTAAAAAACAGAAGCTAGCATCCGTAGAGTCCCTAATATCTGCCAGGCACTGCACTAGAATCGTGAAGAACACTGCTTCTGTTTCACAAAAACTTGATACTCTAAGTGGAGCTCGAAGATACCTTCCAACTGGAGATCAAAGGAGTAAGTACTGAAGACAGAATGGAGTCCCTAGGGACATCACCCTAAGGGATACAAGTTTTCATTTGAGGAAGAGAAGTTAGAGGTACACAAGAATGGCCTCTGGCTAACAGAAGTCAGCTCACCTAGATATGCCCAGGAGATCACCCTACCATCAACACAACCCCCACCTTACACTACAGGTCTCCAAATGCCAACGGCTGACTCATTTGGAATACAAAAGGCCAATCTGCTCCAATCATAACTCTGTGTACCATTTATTCTCCAGAGTCCTCCAGTGGTTAGGCCAAGACTAGATTTTACCTGTGACTATGTCCATGGTGAACAATGGGCTCTTTCCTGTTTTGCCTCTCTGTCTTTGTTATAGGTTTTTCAAGAAGAACATTCTCTCAATGAGTCATTTGGCTTAAATCTATCCCAGGTTCTGCTTCTAAAGACCCCAACCTGTGACAAAGGTGCTTTGCGGCTCCTGGCTGTATTTCTATGTGTATCATACCTAACATTTTCTAATCATCACAATGACTCTTCAAAGTAGGTATTGTTACTCCAGTTTTATGCAATGGCATATTGAGATTGGTCCATTGAGCCAGATTCAGCAAAAAGACAAATCCCAGAGAAAACAGGAGTTAACTGTTTAAATAATTCCAGAAGGAAAGGCCAAAAGCTGCCTTTAATAAAGAGGTGTTTCACTATCCCACTCTAGGGCTATCCATTCTGACTTTCCACCAATTTGCCCTTCAGAGGAAAGTCATACCTAAGATGACACAAGTGATACTTTATCAATCCGTGTTACAAAGTCACTGTTCTCTATATTTAATCTTACTCATTTCTGATCTGAACTTACTAAATATTGGATTGGCCAAAAAGTTTGTTTAGGTTTCTCCATATCTTACAGAAAAACCCAAGTGAAGTTTTGGGCCAACCCAATAAACATTTTTCAAATTAATATACGCCCAAGGACTCTAAGATCTAAACAGAGCTGTCTTTTCTCTAGGCTTCTGGTCTCCATCATTTGTACCTTCCCTAGAGCTAGACTCATTTCCCCATTGTGAGCCTTTTGACTTGAATGCAATAACATTTCTCTACCTCACCTTCCAGTTGAGTGGGTCAGGATCAATAATAGATTCATAAATATACAAACTTGGAAGTCTCGAACTATACTCTAAATCAACTGGAACTTTCTGGACCAATTTTCCAGTCTTGAAGTATGCCTTCATATGACTTACAAGAATGGCAAGTATGCACTGAATGGGACATTATATCACACGTGACAAAGTGAAAGAAAACTTAATTGAGTACAGAGTGGTATTATCAATGTTTAGGCTATAGTGTGTTATAGTCCACTGGTTAGCTGATATTAATGAAAGGGCCTACCTATTAATGTTCATAGCTAAATCAGAGCTTTTCACTATAAAGCTACCCAATTAGGTCCTATGCTAAGGTGTACTTCATACACCTTAGTAATCTCTTAAAAGACTGCCTAAATCAGACTAGGTATCTTGGAACCCAATAGTCTAGAAAAATAAAGAGAAGTATAGTCGCTTGGATGAACAGGACATTATGAGTGAAACAGAAGTGTCTTTAAAGATAACCCATCACTACAACCCAGTCCACTGTCATGGCTGGCTCATAGAGCATCGTATTTTCCACTGACAAGCTACAGGTTCCAAACTGTTGTAGAACACTGACAACAAATACTTCACAAGATTCTCAAAAATTCTTCAAGACACTACATTCATAAACTAGGGACTCAGCTAGGTTATGAGCTGCCTCAACTGCTTCAACATCTCTTCAGCTGCTTCAACATTTCAAATTTTCTGAGTCTTCCAGTTCATACCTGTTATGCCCTTAATCCCAGAACATGTGTATTCAGTTCAGTTCAGTTCAGTTACTCAGTCGTGTCTGACTCCTTGCAACCCCATGAATCACAGCACGCCAGTCCTCCCTGTCCATCACCAACTCCCGGAGTCCACCCAAACCCATGTCCATTGAGTCGATGATGCCATCCAACCATCTCATCCTCTGTCGTCCCCTTCTCCTCCTGCCCTCAGTCTTTCCCAGCATCAGGGTCTTTTCCAATGAGTCAACTCTTCGCATCAGGTGGCCAAAGTATTGGAGTTTCAGCTTCACCATCAGTCCTTCCAATGAACACCCAGGACTGATCTCCTTTAGGATGGACTGCTTGGATCTCCTTGCAGTCCAAGGGACTCTCAAGAGTCTTCAACACCACAGTTCAAAAGCATCAATTCTTCGGCCCTCAGCTTTCTTTATAGTCCAACTCTTACATCCATACATGACCACTGTATTACTCCCTATCCAAATTATTTCCTTACAGATATCACCATGGAGCAGGGATGTCAGAGGTGGGAGTAATTACACTGTCAGAAAGATACCTATTTTTTCTTCCAATGCTGGAAGGCAGAGATGAAAATAAGCAACAGCATCAGTCTTAGACCTATAAATTTATAACTACAGATTTTTAAAGCTCATAGTAGAAAATAAAGAGAAAGAAATGGCATGGCAGGTAAACACATTTGGTGTGTCTTAAAGAACAGAGCAAGAATAATCACTTATGTCTGTCAGAACAGATGGAGCTGGAAATAGTTTGATCTATAGGGCCAAATGTGATTATAGTAAATTGTTTTTCCAACAAGTCTAAAGTCTGTTTATATTTAAAACAAAATAAAAACAAAACACTTTGAAGGAATCCAAATGACCAATACTGAAAAAATACAGGAAATAATGCTAATTCTATTTAATAAATTTCAATTTCTCTGACAAACCTATATCCAGCATTGCTTGCAACAGACCTGCTCACATGGGAGTCACCCTGGAGACTTCTTAACACTACAAAACAAGCAGACAAAAATCTACTTAACCGTAAAGAAGCCTTTATCTCAAATCGTCTCCCCTGTAGTGATCTAGATTCAGGCTGAAGTTGTCACAGTGATTTTGCTCAGTAAAAAAGGACTGGGAAGGAGAATTCTGAGGGAGTGTCTTGCTGCCTCTTCTGAGACTTTTTCACTCTGTTTACATATTAACTGGCAAGTCAGCGGGTGCACAACTCTGATTCCAGAAAAGAACCCCTGGAATAGACACCAGATAAGCCACCTCCTCTCTCCACTCCCACTTCCCAGACAAGGAAGGTTAAACTTCAGTGGT